TTAATGTCATCAGCAGAAGTAAATGCAAAACAAAAAATTCAGTCCAATTTTATGCCCTCAACAATTAAAAACTATTTTCCATTATTCCTATTCCCTTCAAATCTTAATCATAACCACATATCACTTCTACACAGAGGTATTTTTATAGGTAAATACAGTTTCAAAGTTTGGGGTTTTTTGCCACTTAATATTATACCCTCAGTATTTTCTCACATACAAGTCTTCAAAATGATCATTTCTAGTACCTGAAAGCTTATTGTCTTCTATAATCAGACATGCAATGATTTCTAATTGTGGCAGTTTACAAAGAGTTTCTTACTTTATATCATTCTTTCTTTCTTTGAGATTGGTGGTTTCAAACTTCAGCAACTTCAGAAGCACCTGCAGGGCTCGCTAAAACACTAGTGGCCCAGCCCTGCCCTCAGAGAGTTCCCGATTTATAAGTCGGGGGAGACCAAGAATCTGCAACTCCCCACAGGCTCCCAGGTAATGCATGTATTGCTGATATGGGGATCACTTTCAAAACTTACTGTAAGATAATTTACATAGAATATTGTCATCGTTGAACTGAGGATGACAAATAAAATAGCATAGACTTTTACATGGCTTCCGGACCTTTAGACCCTTAGAACTTTCCCTTGTTTTTAGATGTATACCTTGGAGGAAAGTAAATTTTCATCTTCACTACACAGAAACAAATTAGCTGCATTTATCTTGCTTGTCCACGAGACTGGTTGAAAACAATGTTGGAAGGTGTGGAGCAAAAATAGGGCTTTGAAAATTATTTTTTATAAGTTAGAAACAAGAGAATTCCCACTTGGACAGGGCATCATTAGCATGATTGTCTAAAAGTCAAAAAGCTCAGAGGTTTTCTTTGGCACTACTGGATTCTTTATAATTGGATAGAGATTAATCCCTCGCCTTGAAATGCAGACATATGCATATAAACAGACATGCCTACAGAAGCATTTAGATGCATCTACATAAATGCATACTACATAGCCATGTATGCGAAGTATCCATTCATACAGTAGTTTCTAGAAACCCACAGATAAGACATATGCTTAGCAAAGATATCCTCTGCAGAAAATGTCTTCTGGGCTCTCTTTCTTTAATCTGCTCAGATTCTTAAATTTTCATTCTTACTTGTTGCTACTGTATCTGTTTGAATGTATAAAGAGAAGATGTGTTCACATACATAATAATCATAAAATCGTATAAAGTAAAGTGATCAGGTGTTGTCAACAAACCTTGGAATTTGATTAGCAATGAAATCATTAAACTGAGAATAAATGTATTATATGAAGACTCATTAAAATAATCTTGTATTTATCAATTTCTAAGAGGTAGTTTTTTTTCTGAGTCACTGTTTTGATAATTGTACTGTATTTATGTAAGAGCTAAGTCAACAGTCTTAAGAATGGCCTTGAAAGATAGAATCCTTCTTTGCATGGCCAGGTTCATTATGGCCATATGAAAGACACTGCTGTTCTCAGGACTGACAAAAAACTAGGAGATCAAAGCTAAGACACCACGTATTGAGTTGGTAAAAAATTTTGTTTGTTTTTTTCCATAAGATGGCTCTCTAGTTGCTCTTAATTGTCTTTAACTTAATTTGAAACAATTTTGTTAGATTGTATTGCAACAGCTCTCACATCAGCATGCATTTAAAAATCTTACCAAAATTGGTAAATTTTTGTGTAGCCATTTTAATGCTGAAGATGGAAGAAAATATGCAACATTTTGGCATATTATGCTTTATTATTTCAAGAAAGGTAAAAACACAATTGAAATGCAAACAAAGATTTGTGCAGTGTATGGAGATGGTGCTGTGACTGATGGAACGTGTCAAAAGTGGTTTGTGAACTTTCATGCTGGAGATTTCTCACTGGACAATGTTCCATGGTCAGGTAGACCAGTGGAAGTTGATAGCAATCAAATCAAGACATTAACTGAGAACAATCAATGTTGTACCATGTGGGAGATAGCCAACATACTCAAAATGTCCAAATCAATAAAGTTATTGGTGAAAATGAAAAACGTGTCTTTTATTTTATGGAAAAAACTAAACAGACTTTTTGGCCAACCCAATAGTAAATATGACCATATTTAGCAGCCTCAAAAAATATATGACAAAGTTTACAATATGCAAATATTAAACATACAAATATAAGAAATGCAGAACTTCAATGAAGACACCGTGAGGTGATCATTCCCCTGCTGTGTGTAAGAATTTGTCTAAAGGCACTCACTGCTTAATCCAGGTGTTCAGAGAACCATAAAGTTAAGATATTAGCAACAACAACAAAAACCATATGATCATTTGAAAACCCATACCTCTGAGGGTTTTTTATTTTGAGTAATAACTGCCAGTTCTTTACAGTGAGTCAGTGCAGAATGACAATCAATTAAATACAGACCCTGCCCAAATCAGAAGTACTAGCCAAATTATGTACTTAGCAGTGAGATGCTATTATTTCATGCATTCACTAAAGTGAAGAAAAGAGGGAGAAATGTGCAATGAATGGCATGATAGGGCTTGCATGTAGAATTTCCATTCCTATACTCAAGGGAATGGGAGGTTATAAGTCTCTAGGGATAACCAGAAACAACAGAGGAGCGTTTTTAGAATCATTTTCCTCCATCAGGGTGGGAATGGACCCCCAGCAAGCCAAAAGATAAGAATTTCAATAAATATATGTTAATGGATATCTTCCTTTCTTGGACAAATAATTTAACTTTCCAATTTAGGCAGTTATATAAAGAGTCCTTTTTAAAAATTAACAGTTGAAAAAATGTGTTAATTCAAAAGTGAAATCTGTCGTAAAACAAAATGTTCAAAGTATATGTGGGCAGTACAAAATGAGGAAAAGTGAGCGACTGAAGCTGTTAAAGCACCTCCGTCAGCAGCAGGATGCCGCAGCTTGCTGGCCACTCGGTGCGTGACCACATGACAGTTCCCTCCTCACTCCTGACTTACCTGGAGCCCTGGAAGCACGGGACTCAATGTGCACAGTATGTTCTGCTGTGACACACTTGTATTTTAATTCAAATGCTATCACTAGGGATGTTCATGCAATTTTTTTTCAGTAATGCAAATCCCAATTCCTCTATAAACAATGCAATGCACAGATTTTACCAAAAGGAGACCATTTTCTGAAAAGAAAAATAGAACACCAAAAAATACCGTAAAGGTTGAAAACAAGGTAAATTTATGTAATTCATAAAAAAAGATATCAAATTCTTTGACAATTGACTAAATGTGGAACTCTAGACACAAATAAAAATGTTTATATATATATATATATCCTAAAGATATTAGGGCACATTGGAGGAAAAAGTATCTAATTCATTAATTTGTATGAATGTACAAAGTTTATTAATTTAGAAATGTTTTTGTCAATACTTCTATCATAAAAGGAATAATTTTTCATATGAATAAAATGCTGTTTTGATTCTGAGCTCAAGGGCCTAATATTCTCAAGGGGCCTGAGTCTGAACTGAGAAAAGTCAACACAGTAAAACTGAAAGACATCTTTGGAAATACTAGGTCACTATTTTTTAATGTATGAAAGGGAAAGGAGGCAGCCTAGCTAAAATAAACCTGTTCGTTATCCTTATCATGAGGAACAAGGAAACAACAGGCCCTGATGGGGCAACTGTTTACAATAGTGAGGCCATTTTCCCAGATTCGTACTCAAACCCCTCATAAAAAATCTCACTATATCCCCTTCACGGCTATTCCAAAGCAACATGTCAATTATTATCTGAGATTTTTAAAAAATAATCAATAAACCTTGGCCTACATTAGACTAAAATCCAAAATGATTGCCATTATTGTTGAAGGCTAATTATGATCAAACTTTTCTTCAAATAACACGTTGTTGAACTTTTAAGAACAAAAGCTGAGCCTGAAAATAATCTTCAGTCAAAAGTTGAAATTGAGAAAACATTACGGAGACAAAATTCCTACCAGGCCATCACTGATTTGAGCATTGTTTAGCATATTCATTGACTGTACTAAGCGTGCACACTCAAATCATTCTGCTCTATGGAATAATCACAAGCAATGTATTTGTAACTTACTCATATGAAGAGCGACTAGAGCTCCTTTGAACCATAATGACTGTTATTTAGGAAAGGACTAAAAAATGAGGTAGAAAATACTTATGCTTATGAATTGAAGGTTTCTAGAAATGTATCAGTGTTATATTTTTCATTTTCTTATTTCTGAGAAAAATTCTTGGTCTTATGAAAAGTCATAGACTTATTCTGAGAGATTAAGTTTTCTTGATTATTACCAAAACAGATCACAAGTGAAAGGCCTGAAATGTTACTTTATTGAGCCACTAATTACAATCTAAAACTGCTCACAATGTAAAATGGACAGAGACCACCGAGTCACTGATTGGCACAGGTCTGCATTTCTTTATTCAACCCCCAAAAGCTAAGTAAGCAATGGCAGTCACCATTTCACCATGCTACTGTACCAAATTCTCATTCTCTTCACTCTGGTTTATAATCCAAACATCTTGAAAAAATCATGTTTAAATCATTTGAAAATTACTGGGACCAATAGGATGATCTTATTGATGTGAAAGGTCAGGACAGAATATTGATTTGTTTCCCACTGGGGTTGTGTGTGTGTGTGTGTGTGTGTGTGTGTGTGTGTGTGTGTAGATAGTTCCTTTGAGACTAAATGTACAAACAAAAAGCAATTTGTTGGTTTTTCTTTTCCTTATTCTATTTGATCTGTACGATCTATTTGGTATGTGTTTTTGTGTATATATGTAAAAAGAGAGAGTTCTATTTATTTAGCCCTCAGCAGTAATTATGTATGATACATTTTAAAACATTCATACCTCATGTCTTCAAGTCCAACTGTAACCAACAGAGGGGGAGTTCCTGCTTAGTTATTGGTCATATTTTCCTGCAACACCCAACTCAAGTCCTGAAAGGCTCATAAAGGACAAGATATCAAGTGAAAAGTAAAACTTTACCCTAATGAAGAGGATCTTTTCTCCCACTCGGTATCTTCCTTGAGAGAGCCTCTCCACACAGAATTTGCTTGGGCATTTGCAAGGAGGATCCTCAGAAATCCTTTTCACCTGAAATAGAAGAGCAAGCAAGTTCATTCTCCTTAATCAATTCCCATTTAGATTGATCAGTTCTGTGGGTTCAAAAGCCCCTGGACCATTACTGCTTTTAAATTTGTTCTATATCAGACTATGGGCATGATTTGAGCACAGAAATAGCACATTAAGTCTAACTACATGGAGGTCAGGCCCAGAAGCCACTTCCTGAAGGCCAATAACCACACTACACTAAGGTGTGAGCTGGATGATGATGATGATGATAATGATGCTGGAGAAGAACAATGAGCATATCAATCGGCAGCATAGGAATGAAGAACTGGGTTCTCATTTTGGGAAGATTAAAAAGATCGCGTACATTGGGTTGCCAAGACAACTGTATTGAAAGCTAGAATAGAAGGTATGTTAACAAGGCTAACCTATGTTTACTTATTATAATTTAACAATATGAATTTTACCCATTTCAAAATAAATGATAACAAATTATTTTTCTAAATAAGACTGTAGTTTCATCTTATTTTGAGCTCAAAGACTTTTTAAAATAAGCCATCTCTCCTTCACCCCCGGGCTCATCCAGCAACTCACTCCATCTCAGTTAAGTACCACCTACCAAAACCTTCTTCTGGGACAGGATCGTACATGCATTTTACAGAACCTGATACCAGAATTTATCTCTATTTTATCCATCTTCCTATTCTTAAAAAATAGCTACTCTAAATATGTGCACAGTACTTATCATGCTATCAGAAGACAGTGCATAGTCCATGATTTAAGGAATAAGGTTGATATTTATGTTCTGCCTCATTGAGAGCCTGTCATGCTATGTCTCATGACTGCCCTCTCTTCAACTAACCAACCAACAAACCCACCAACCAAACAACCAAAAACAACACTTTCCTGTGTTTTGAGTCAAAGTCTTCTTGGAAGAGATATCTAAACAATGTGCAGCCTGCATTTGAGAAGCTAGAGAGAATAAATCTGGTTTCTGAAGGTGCTGGCTTGACTCTCCCCACTCAAACCTTTTCCTCCACAAAGACATGGTTCCTCGAGTTTCATCAGCAGAGACAGTCATTCCCTCACATGAAGCGGAGTCTGACCTCAGTCAGCCTTCTACTAAGCAAAAATGTGGGCAGAGTAACATGAACTCACTGGTGTGTTGTTGTAAAGAACTTAAACAGCTTGGCTTCCCTAGATTGAGAGAGATTCCAGAAAGTATGGAAGCCCAAAAAACTAGAGGAACAGCTACAAAAAGTGGAGGGATACTGAATAAAACTTATCTTAAGAACTATACAATTACGCCTCGGTTGAGACATAAAGAGAAACCAACACTGTAGCTGGGGGAAGAGAACCAACTTCGGGATACATATTTTCATCAATCCCTTCTAGAACCCCTAACTCTGCCAACATGAAAACCTACAATTCTTAATACTTACTCTTATCATATGAAATTGTATAACAGTTGTTAAATAACCTTATCTTCTCTTTGCTGGATTGTGAGTTACTTATGGGTGAAGATGGTATTTCATTATAGTTTTAAATCCTTGAAATAAGACTCAATGTCTTAATGGCATATATTGTGTGTTCAATAAATGCATATTGAGTAAATAAATGAATTGATAAGAAAACATGAGCCTATAAGGACACAGGGAGAAATTAGTGCAACAGATTAAGACTGGATTTATAGAATCTTACAGATGGCTTTCATTGCAAAATGAAAAAAAAAATGCCTCTCATTATTAATTTAGTGATTAGATCCCTGTATTTGAGTGCTGAATTTTTTTCTACCATATGATACTTGGCCCATAGATACATCCACCCATTCCCCAAGTATTAACAGAATTCTGTCTCTAGGGACTTTTTGAAATGGAGATTCATGAACAAGATGGTGATAATAGAACAATAAGTCAGCATAGAAAAGTGCATGGCTCAAACTTTCCTAGAACCATGCTTAACACAGTTTTATTGACACGTACTAATTGAGCAAAGGGTGAAGTGGTGTTCAAGTTGTTCCTCTGCTAAGCGACGACAATCACCGTACATATAAAAAGTATTTCCATCCTGAAGTGTTCTTAGACAAAACACAGAAACTCCTGGAATCCAATGGAGTGAAATACAAAATACATTTTCTCAAGTGGCCTGCCCTTCTCTCATGCCTTCTGAACTTTGAAAATGGACTTTTTAAAAAAAAAAAATCAAGGGCTTTTTTGTAGTTGTGTGAGAGGTGGAGGCAGATATGGAAGAGACAAGGCCAGACTGTGGGTAGTGGAAATACATTGTTAAGTAAACTGTGACAGATGACATCTGTGCTTCTTACATTACCTCGGGATAAGTCAGTCTGGCAGGTGTTCTGTTTTGGGCCAGGAACCCAGCCAGTTTTCTGCTGAAATGGGATTTCAAGAGGAGCCTGATTACTCAGAATTACACTATCTCTCATCCCCAGACTGAGGAAGTTGATGGAGAAGAGGAAGAAAGTAAGAATGGTTTCTTAGAACTGCATTCAACTCATTGTGTGGGAACCAGCTCAACACGAGGGAATGCAAAGAAAACTTGACCCACCGCCGCCATGTTATCACAGCTGAATCACGCTGTCAGGACATCGGGAGAATGAATTAATCTGAATGGATCCACTGTGTTATGATATCTTGATTAAAGAAGGTGAGATGTATTGTCCACATAAAGGGCCACCTATTTGTTTTTTCAATTTTCCACAGTTCCCCTCATGGCAAACAAAGAGATGAGAGGAAACACTGAAAGTTTCAAAACGGACAGTGACTGTTGAAATTGTTCACGGGAACACGGTATCTTAACACAGGTCTGCTTTTCTTACTCTCTTTTTTCTTTCTCTTTTCTCTTTATTCCTCTTTCTTCTTTTATTGTCCCTCTTTATCCTCCTCTTTTCTTTTTTCTTCTTTTTTTGATACAAATAGTAACTTTGCCAGAGCAGAAATAGCCAGTATTTTTAACTGAACTCAGGAACTTTGTAAGCATCTGTATTTTATAACATCCCCCATTCTAAAATACAAATGAGAGTACATGAATTTCAATTTCCAACAGCTACATATGCTTCACGTGCAGTGAAGCAACTGCCATAGAAACTATTTACTTTTTATATTTGACATACGAAGCTCTGATTTAAATCATTAGTGAGGCTCAGATTATGTTTCTCTCTTCCACTGTCCCTGAAATAAAACACTTTGGTGAAAAACTAACACTTAAACAGAATGAACATATGTCAATGAAATTTTCCCAACACAGTATGTAGGAGACTATAAGACACTTCTGTGGCCAAATAATTTGGAAAATTCCAGGTCAAACAAGATCTCATTATGGAGCTCACTAGTGCCTTTGATATACCATGGTGCATTGCCAAACTGTGCACAAGAAATACAGTAAGCTGTATTTCTCAAACTAACCTAACCATGGAATTCTTTTCCCTGTGGGGCATCTGGGGGTGTTAGTATTTGATTAAACATTCTTGGAGAAACATTGGCTTAAAGAGTTTCAGAACATAGCATTCTAGCTGGCAATGGTACAAAAATAGCCACTTTGCACATTTCCTACATTCAATTACAACCCCCTAACTAAACAGATAGTTATGTTCCCAAACTCTGGTAAACTGTAAAGGGGGTTAAAGCTCTTGTGAGGCCCCCCTCCTTGTTTCCAGTTGAGAGACCAGAACCTGGAGTAGAGAGAACAGCCACAGAGTGACGGTCTTGCCATTTTAAAGGGAGTTCCTATCTCATTCTACCTCTTCTAAACTGCAGCATTGGAAAAACTTTTCCCAAATCCCTTCCACAGCTGTTTCACCACCTTCTCCCTCCCGTCATTGTCCTCCCCTTCTCCAGGATACTGGATGGCTACATACGGGACAAGCTGGTGGAGAAAGGGGGCCCTTCTAGCCGCCCCTCCCAGGTTCATGTAAATAGCAGCAAGGAGCAACAAATATCTCCTCCCTCTGCTAAGTGCCCCCATTTTCAGAGCACATGGTCATTCTAGATAAATAGAACAAGGAAGAAACTTTTTTATATCTCAGTTATCCACACTGATAATCTATTCAACAAAAATGACACTAACAGACATAGATTAATAAAAGATGGTCCTTGTCTTTGACGAAAAGGACAGCCCATAGGAAACAATGGGTATTTATACCCAATAAAGTAAATACTTCATTAAAATGTATAAAAATTCTTGGGGCGGCAAAGACTACTTTGTCAGTTTCACCTGGGATGGGAGAGGCCGAGAAAAGCTTTATATCGGAGGCCGCACGACCCAAATTTTAAAAGATGAAAAAGTGTTTAAAAGTAGATTTAAAAGATGAGTAGGTATAAGCATGGTGAGGAAAGCAAATGGGGAAAAACACAGGGTATACAAGGTCCTCAGGACTTTGGCGTTAGCGGGCATCTTTATAATGGACACCTCAGAATGCCAGGGTGAGTCTGAAGGGCAATAAAGACAAACCAGGGAAAGACAAAACAGGCCAGAACCTGGAGGCGTGTGTGGACCGTAAATGAGTTGGGGGTTTACCCTTTGATGTTAAAGGGAACCCCTATATAATTTTCATCAAAGCAGAGTTGCATTTAGGCTGATCATTCTGGTAAGAATGATGTTTGTGGAGAATAATGTCAAAAATGCATGGGTCGACAGTGCCAAACATCAGAAAGCAGCCTCCTAATCTGAGGACTAAAACAATGTATTTGATTCAGTAATTCATTCATTAGGAGGTCAGAGGTGATGCTGGACGGAATTATGACAATAATGTGTTAAAGAAAATGAATGGAAGTGATAACTGAAGGGAGAGGGATTCAATCAAATGTAGTTGCCCCAGAGAAATACATTTATAAGAGAAAGATTAAAGGAACATCTTACTCCAAATTAAGTTCTAATCGAAAAAGTGTAATTGAATGAGAAGAACATTGTTCATATCAATACAGAAAAATACACTATTATCTACTATTAATACTTTATTCAATTCACTTATAAAATAAGTAAGAAATACTGTAACAAACAAGACATATAACTGATCCTTAATAACAGTCCTGTGATTTTATTTACTTATTTTTTATTGTATTTTTTCCATTACCATTTTTCCCACTTATACTCTCCTCCCCCCACAATTACATTGTTTTAGATGGTATTAAAATACCCTCGCCCATTTAATTCCTGAGTGGACTAAACAAAAGAAAGCTAAATTAAGTTGTTACTGGCTAAGATACCTTGATGGGCTAAGTTTAAGTTTGCTGCCTTTAGTAGAAATAAAAAAATCTCAACCTGTCAGGAAAAAAGTAGTTAGATTTCTGCTCCTCTAAACCCGCAGTGTAAGTCGGAGTGTCACAGGGAGGAAAGCAGAATATGGGAAAACCTCTCTGTGTGCATCATGTAATGCCAATCATCCACCATCCCAGGCCTTTTCAACTCAGACCCTGGAGAAGAAAACCCTCAGCCAGGAGCCAGCAGTCCCTGGCAGTCCCGTCTACTCCATGTGATGAGCATTACGGTTGCTGCTAGTTTCTAAGGACTCTCCCCACGTATGTGAGACATACTTCACCCTCACATCTCTGATGTTAGACTGAATGGTGTTACTATGTTCCATCAAACAAATTAGCATTTTTTTACAGTTGCACTAAAATACATGTCCTGGGAGGTAAATACACACATGCAATCAAACACACTACTTATAACCAAGAACTACTTAACAGTCAAGAGAGGTAGCCAGAGAGTTCTAATGCATCCTGTCTGCTGTTACACCCAGAATCTGTGATTACAAGAGTATAGTGAATATAGATCCTAATCTGCCAAAGACTGACTTGAGGACTCTGCTCAGTAGAGGAATGCAGAGTTAGACAAAGTTGGGTTGGAATCTAAGCTCCTCTCCTTACCTCGGCAGGTGATTCAACTTCTAAGTTTCTGTTTTCTCAGTAAAAAACCTGCCTTACAGACGGTGAGAGCACTTGAAAAGTAATGCTAGACAGATTAGACCTGGCCCGTAGCAGGCAGTCTGGGGCAGTTCTGATGTCTGTTTAGGATGCTTTCCCTTCCTCAACAATCCTTACGATCTCGGGCCTCAGGTATCTTATCTGTGAATAAGGACCCATAAACCAATGACAACAGACTTAAGTGTTTTCAAAGCCAACTTTCGGAAAGTTGATATGTTATCCTAAAATTTTAGATACTACTCAGCTGAATTAAGTGACACTTTATTTGCAAAGACTGGCTCAGTTTTGAATCTCAAAATGAATTATTGAACTATAAATTTTTTATAGGATTTTATAATGAATTTCAATGAAGTTTAAATAAGTAAAGGTTAGACTGATAAGAGATTTACAAAATGAGTTTTGAAACTCAAGGAAAAGACTAAGTGGTAGGAAGAAGTCTGGCTCATTTTACTTACTGCATCATCCAGCAAGTTTCCCGTACTCTTTTTTCCAGAAGACTTCGATGAAGGGGAGGGTGAAGGAGAAGGGGCAGAAAGTGTTTCTTCTTGTTCAATCTCTTTTTCCAATTTTATCAAACCAGGAGGCTCCACGCCATACCTTTTAAAAGATACCAGATCACACATGCATAACTTAAAATGATCCACTTACCATATGTTACATTTGATTATGAACACTATAGGAACAAAGTGGTGATTTTTTAAAATAACATTAACTTTTCCTGGCCTGAAATGGAAAGTTCTTAAATGGCACTCTTTTAAGCAGAGGAAAACCATACTTGCTCTGTGTGTGTATACACATATATATAAACAGACACATAACATATAACATACTAAGGTTAAATAAAATACTATGGGTATATGTTAATGAATCAATAATATATAACCATATAAAATTTAGTCTTCAACTTTCATATTTACTAGCAAATGATATTAGTGCTATAATTAAACTGCTATTTTGGATACAATCTTGTTAAAGATGGAAATAAAATCAATCAGAGCCAAGTTTGAAAACAGCAATCCCCCAAAATAAACATTCTTAAATGATTTAACAGAGAAGAAGTTCACTGTTAAATGTAGATCTCCTATGGGCTCTGGAACAGTGGACCATGGATTATACCGGTTACTCTCTTAAGAACAATACAATGAAAGCATGGCCAGGATTACTAGGAAAGCATATGACCAGAAAAGAAAGGGAAACAATTTAAAATAATATGTTAAAAATTATTTGTTGTAAATTATAAATGCCAAGAAGTTATACAAAAAAAGATTGATAGTTGTTCTCAGTGTTCTTACCATTCTTACCTCCCATAATCATATTTTTGTTTGGCTGAACTTAAAATCGATTTGGTTTTTTTAGATGTACCTCAATTATACCCAGATAGAGGAGGTCAAAGATAACTCCAGAGTTTAAGAGCCAAGGAGGATCTTTGGGGCAGTCTAGTTATACACTCTCACGTGTACAGGCAAGAATACAGGTCCAGAGAACATACAGAACTACACAGAAGCTGGACCAAGATGTAAATTGAGGTTCTCTGACTTCACAACTGAGACCAGTTTTCTCTGTTATTTTAATCAGAGGGAAGAGTCACAGGTTATGGATAACCTACAAAGTAAATAGTCTACACACAGAGGATATAAATATGTTGACAACATGTCTAGTATCTTAGATGAATAATATATTGAAACAATATTAAATGTAAAAGCTAAGATTCCTATCTTGTTCTAAAGGCTAGTTATTTTAACTGTTCAGCAGATATTTCTAGGAAAAAGCAATTTCCTTTCTCTTGAGGTTTTGTCCTTGTAGAGGTGCTCAGTTAGCATAATTCCTGGCCTTTCTCCCTCATGACTCATACTTCTCCAATAAGTTAAAGGATTTATCAAATTGGAAGTCTACGAATAAAATGAGCGTGTTTGTCTCAGTTTACCCTTCTTCTTCTAGGGAAGAAACTGCCCACAGGGAGGTCTCCATAGCAACCTCCACCCTGATTCCCTCTGAAAGTAGAGGTGAAAATGGCCTGCGCTAGCGGCCTGATGGAGCAGCAGGGGCGCGGGCAGTGGAAGAGCATTGGGCAGCTGCCTTCGTCTGGCGCACTGGGGCGTTGTCACACACATTATTTCTGAGCCTGTTTTATCTCCCTGTAAAATGGAAACTCTACTTCTTGTATTTCACTCTCATTAGGAGGAATTAAAACAGTATGCACGGCATGCCCATCACAACTTCTGACACCTGTCACGACCTCTAAGATGGCTGTTAATTGATGTTTGAAATGTTGCACGACCAGAAAACCGCAGCACTGAAGTACTTTTGCCCAAGTGTTTACTTTTAAAGCATATTATGCCACCAAATTAAGTCATACAACAGCATCAGAATTAAGATTTAGAGCAGTATTATTAATATTGTTTACATTAGTATTGTTTGTAACCTTTACAAAAAATAAAATAAAATGTGCTATAGGCTTTCTTTGAATCTATTTTCCTGCAGGTGTGGAAGGGCAGAAACACCTCAGTGCTGGAGTGGAGCAGCCCTCGTCATAAATTCAGCTTTGCTGCTAACTCACTGGATGAACTTCAGCAGGCAACTCTTTCTTCCTTTCCCTAGACTTATGAATTCTTAGTTCTATCAAGGCATAAAATTTTATGTTTCATGTCCTTAGGAGAATAACATAAACTGGGCAGTGCAAGTAGGGGAATTTAAAGCACTAGAAGTCACAGCCAATTAAATATCAATCCTAAGTGAAACCATCATATTTGAAGTATAAAGTAGGCCAATTGGAAAATATGATTTCATTCTTAATTGTAGGTGGATTCATGCCACCTTTCAGGAACAGGTTACATTTTTTTTTCTCTTTTCTTTACAAAGTGAAATAAGAAATATATTTTTAGAGTGACAATAGGTTTCACTCAATGTCTAATACAAAGTAGATGAAGTTTGGATGAAGTTGGTAACACAGTTACACATGGAATCTTGCCCTGGAGATTTTTCTTTATCTGAGAATGCTGAAAATTAGCTATGCCACTGAACACAGAAAATCAACACTAAGCCCCAAATCTCTGCTTATATTGGCTTTTGAATACTTCAGGCTGCCTAAGGTATAGTCGGCCAGTCCAGAAATGCACACTTAAGTACGATTCATGGGCTTCCTGTCTGTCTGGAGATGTCAACAGGCCGTAAATCATGAAATTCCCCTGGGTTGGGGGCCCACACCTGCAAGCCAACTCAGTCACCAAATAGGTCTTTTAGTTCTCCCCAAAAGGCAGCTTCATTATGATTTCTATGATTAACTCTATACCACTTCGCATTTCTAGTGTGTCTATGAGGTTTTCACAAATTTATACTATTTTCTACTCCTTTCCAACCACAAGATTTTAGAGCTTTGGGGGAGATGGGGCTGCTGTAACTTTCAAACTGAATAAGCGTCTAACTAAAGCAAGAAGCTTGGATCCACTAAGACCAATCCTCACATCTGTATACATCCCAGTGATAAAAATGTAGGGTGGATACTGAGAAGGCAATACATGATTTTGTCTCATTAAAAAAATATTATGAAGTGCTAGGGAAGGGTCTTATGGTTAATGACTTTATGATGAGATTCTAAAAAATGGACTTTTCATTTTTTTTGGCATGAGACACACTTTTGAGATTGTTCTCTAGATGAAATAACTGAGCCCCAAATGAGAAAATTTACTCAAACTATTTAGAAGATTATAGTTTTAAACAAAAGACATTGGGAGCTGATTTTTGTAGAGTTAAAGGAACAAATTTTAGAAACTCCTCCTGTTTAAAGCATGTAACAGACAGGTCACAGATTCTTGCAAGGTAGTTTTTGCTCCATTTTCATTCTGTCTTCAAGTAATTTAAAGATATTTAGATTTGGAAGAAAATTTCACCCAAGTGAAAACATGTAACATTCTTAGTAGGTGGAGTCAAATGCTTTAACTAAGATGAATTCATTGGTAAGTCTTGTATAAAAATATTTTTCTTTTAAGTAACATTTCACTGGGCTGTGGATTGAAATAGAAGACTAACAAAATTACTTGTAAAGTATATACCTTTGGAATAGCCATGTATTTTGTTAAATCACAGAAGTTCTCAGAAATGAAAATATAAAAAGCTCCACTATGATGTTGGTTATTGATTATGGCCACAAACCAAAATATTAAGTGTTTTACTTTTATTGTAAAGCTAATCTTAATTCTGTAGTCTGTAAAAAAGTTGAATTCGTGGTAACGTTTATTTAGGAACAAATATCACAGCATTGTCATTGAAAGATTGTTGAGGTTTTATCGACCTGCCTTTGCTGAATGTTTTACTTTTCAGAAAGCAAGCATGCATGTTTTATACCCAGGAACAGACATTGCTTCTGAAGTGTTGAGGGATTTCCCTCTCCAGTGATGACAGCTCAATTTAGTTGAAAACAAAAGGAAGTTTTAATCCACGAGAACACAAATAGGTGGTTTCATCCTCCCTTCTCAGAACTCAGAGAAGCCCACAGCTCCCAAAGGAGCTTTGCTGAGTGTTCCCACGCAGAAGAGGGCAGAGAATCGGAAACATTTTGCCAGTCATATCCAAAGTAATGTTGATGCTTCAAGATGATATTTATGTAATTTGAGAAGGAAATGTTTAGAATCAAATACCAAAAAAGCATCATCTACCAGTAATAAAATAAAAACTCACAAAGTTGTACTGGGAACTTTTTAATGCTCAAAACTCATCTGCTGTGTGCAAATGAATGTTATGATTCCTAGAGTTCTCCCAAAATCACTTTTACTTTTGGCTAAAACTGTCTTAATAATTTATGTAATCCTCCACGGAAGAGTTGGGGGAGGAGGAAGCATGAAATAAGGATCTAGATATGTTTAATATATATTAAAAATATAGGAGTAAAATGAGATTAGGGGAAAATGAGATTTTCCCTTTAACTAAAATATGCTTCAACATATGGCTAAGGGAGAGAGGTTTGGGTTTATTGGCTTCCCATTTATAAAGCACAACTGAACTTCCATTAAAACGGAGATCTTTAAAGTGTGTAGAGAGAAACCTCAGTAGACACTGGTACTTAAATGTTCAATCTATCCAATTCATATTCAACTATTTAGCCTTGTGCTGCATACAACAAAAGTATAACACCCTAAAAAAATCTCTTAGCATATTTTCTCTTTTTCAGTGAGAGTGTGCAATACTTCACACCCCTCAAGTAGGTGAAGAAAATAAAAAGCAAAACTTACAAGTTGAGTGTTGTTATGTAAGGGTATCTTACTCCTTAGATAACTCCTTTGTGGAATTAGTAATAATTCCTTTGTAACATGAATAAATACTGCTTTTGTCAGCTTGCATGATCATAAACACAGAGGGAAATGGAGCAACCCCTTCTTATCACAAATAATAATAACTGATAATAATAATAGACAGCAGGAGGAAATTTTTAGAGGTGATGAATATGGTTATGGCATACATTGTGATAATGTTTTCACAGATCTGTACTTATTTCCACACTCATCAAATTCTATGTATTAAGTACAAGCAACTTTGTGTAGGTCAATTATGCCTCAGTAACAATGTTTTTTTAAAGGAGTAACCCAGAATCTCAAGTTTAAAATACTTGGGGGAAAAGACCAAAATGTAAAACTTTTCATATGATGCTTCATCTTGAAATTGACCAAATCATTATGATTCTGTTTCATTAACCAAGACTTGGATTTGCTTTATGCACCATGGCAAGGGGCAATTTATACCGGACATCGAGTTGGAGGGAAGATGATTCCTAAAGGGGTTTTTGTCATTGGATATTATGTCTTCTCCTTTGAAGACTCAATAAAAGTTAAAATGTCCAATTTAGCAGGATTTCTAATCAAAGTGTTCAAGTAACCAAAAATATAATTACAATAAAATAAAATAAATCCACAAACATGCAAGTCATATAAACTAGACAGAGGAAAATGACAATCCCCAACTAATTTTGTAGATAATGCACCTCCTTCTCTTTACCTCTACATCACAACTTTCAGATTCATGATGCTTATGGATTCATATAGTTAAAATATTAAAGCAACAGTCTGGCACTTTAGAATATTTTGACAGTACAATCAAAACAAGGAGCTAAGCGAAAAGCTTTCTGCCTCACTGTTAGTAGGAACACTAGACCACCCATGTTTCTTTTACTCCAGTATTTCCGAGGCAGCAAGTCATTCACTGAGATTTTAGTGTTTGTGTTTTCCTCCATCACCCCTGTATTTTTAAATCCCCTCTTTTAGGGCACATCTGCTGAGTCCTTGCTATTCCTTTGACTCAAAACTATTTGTCCTGTGGGCCAGAAGCCCCAAGACTGGTGGAAGGGTGGCTTGGCAGAGTTCTAGAAGTGACAGGTACCTTTGTCTTGTTCCCTCACAGAACCCAAGGAGGCAACCCAAAAAGGACAGGGAGTTCAAAGTACCAGCCAGACTCTGCAAGCTTGAACTACGCCTGAGCAGTCAAGACCTGAGTGGACTAAAGACTAGGGAACCCTCTCTGAAGGCCTTCACACGGAATCTGGGAATGGTGTGGAAGAGCACAGAGAAAGCTCAGAATGTCTCAAATTGATTTGTTCACTACTTGCTGAGTGGAACATCAGTCATATTTAATTTGAAAAAAATTAATTAAAGAAATCATTCTCTCACCCAATTATTGTGGTAAATTAAAATGCATACTTGGTATACAACTTGTTAAAATAACATTGCTTATGATGTTTTAAAGAACTTGGGGTTCCTCATTTTGATTACAAGTTAATTTTTTATTAGATTAAAACATAGATCTATCTATTGGTAGAAAGCTTTCTACCAATTGCTGAAATTTGCTGATTTGCACATCTGTGTTTTCTTTTCCTTTATTTTCTTTATAAATTTCTCTTTGAGAATTTATACCCAGAGTTAGCTCTCATTTTAGCTGATTGGTTAATCTGATCTCAAATCTATAAGCATATCCAGTTCTGGATGAGAAAACATCTCCTAATTTATTCTGATTTTAATTTTGCATTAAGACTTCTTCAAAGATTTAAAACTTCACTTCTGATTTTTTTGGCTTCATAGAACTGTCAGAATCCCTGCTTGATGGTTTGCAAGAACACATGAAATGAAGCCAGCTAGTTAATAAAATCCCTTCCTCTGCTTCTTTAAATATCATTATGATTTTCACAACTGTTTCTTGTTTATTTTTTGCCAGAAGACAAATTCCCAAGATGTCTCTACATAAGAATTATAATATTGTATGTCTTTCTCTAATCAAAATATGGAGAATAATTTAAAAACTATTTCCCCACTCAGTAATAGAAATGAAAAAAGCTGAGAGATAAGATGGTGAATGGGGGGAAATGAGGAAAAATGAACAAAAGAAGAGACTAAACATTATTAATAAAGAGCAAAGAGGGAGAGATGGGATGAAGGATTAAAGAAAAAGTAATGGGACTAGACTTTCCAATAATGAAAGACCAATCGTCACAGTCAAGTTTATGTACAGGACTCTCCCAACCCCCAAGAGACAGTGGCTTTGACAACAGGATAACCATGTTAAGAATATCGGAGGCATGCGTTTAGTTTGAACAGCTGTTCTTGAGATGTTGCTACTAATTGTATTTGTAGGAATAGCTTTCTCAACAGGTTCAATACCAGCAACAAAGGCCATCAATGTTTCTCACACTCTTGGACACTGAGATGGTCCATGACTTAACACAGGAGCAGTCGGCTGACCTACCTGGCTGCAATCCGGCCCAGCTCTAGCAAGCAGAGACACACTTCTCTGGGTTGCTTGTGGAGGACTGAAAGACAAGATAGAGGTGAACACGTTTAAGATACAAGGGATTGTAAAGCAGCTCAGTGGTGAACAGGCTTGCCATTGACCCTCTCATCCCTCCTGCTCCCAGGAAATTAACTAGTCTTCATTCTAACATTCAAAAAGCCAGCCTACCCTACAGAGACTTCACTTCACTAAAGTCCCAACGTAGTTGTCAAAACTCTTTGTCTAAACCCACTCCCCAAAGCCATTATCTCAGGAAATCTCTACCTGTGTAAATCTTACCCTAAATTTATTTTCTTTAATTAGTTAATTTCAGTAAGTCTATATTGGAAATACACGTGGCTACAATGATGCCATAAATACTGGATAGATATTTTAAAACAGACAGCACATAGAAGACTATGGAACAAAGATGGGTCTTTTTAAAATCCTAGGTTTACTTTCACTAGTGATTTTAGCAGAAATAGCATAATAAGAATAAAAATTACACAGAGCAGTTCTTTGCTATCCTTTAAGCAAAGCTGTCAAGTGATACCTTGAAATTTAATGTCCTCTCTTAATAAAATCTAATTAAATGATAATTTAGAAAGAAAGACTGACTGGGTTTTGTAAATATAGAACAATATAAACAAACCATCAGCCAGCTTTGCTCATAAAATGAGCAAATTAGAAGACTATCATTTGCATTAACATTTTATTTGAATATAACATGATTACTTAATAAATCTTTACCAATTGCTTTGGACACATTCAGTAATGTTGACAAACAATACTTGCATTTATTGAGCTTACCAGAGGAGTATGTACTGCTTATATTTCTTTTTAAACCATTTTAGAGAATTTTTAAATGTTATTTTATACAACACCTAATAAAGACAACAGATATTGGAAAAATATCACATTGAGAATGTCTGTGCATAGACACAGCTAATATCCTGATTAATAAATATATCAGCTTGGTGAAAAAACTTTTCAAAAGTTGCAATGTTGCTTTAATTCTTAAACACAGAATTTTATAATTCAATATCCCAGCATTATTCCATTCCTTTAATTTAAACATCGAATTTCTTCTTTACACAGATTAAGGTAGTGGCAATATTTGGTCCAGGGTCACCTGAATGGAATTTTAGGGAGTTTGTGGTGATTAGAAAAATACTTTCTTGGATTTTGTGTGTATGATTTCACTTAGGTTTAAACAGACCCAAAGTTTTATCTTATTATAAAATGTGACCTTTAAAGCTTTTAAAATAAATTATAATACCATCAGTAATGTTCATTAAAGCAGAATTTATTAGGGAGTTTCTGAATTACAGAATATTTACAATCTTGGTAATATAAATTTTAGCTTCAGATGACCCTTAGCAAATTGTCACAAAATCTGAGTTGGGAATACTTAAAGTTAATTTAACTAGAGGGCTTAAAATAAAGATACTTAATACCTACAAAGTCAAATGCACCAGTAGTTGTCTTTGGGTTGAATCAAACAAACTTCACAACTTTAGCTATATTAAATCAATTCAGCACCATGAAACTCACAGACTGTCATATCACATAGGCATCAGTTACAAACAGAAAACAATAACAGACACCACAAAACAGAAGCAAACAAATGGAAATTAATCTTCTTGTCTAATTAATTTCTTTCAATTTGAACCTTTTTTGGAAAACTCTGTCCACAGTACCAAATAACAAACAGGAGTTTTGAGTGAGAAAAAAGAATAAATAAAACCTGAGGAGAAGAAAACTTTTAAGGTCCTGCCCAATACTCTCATCTTCAGTCAAAGAAAGCTGTGTGAAACAAGTGGTTAAAGCACTAGCAGCTTTGAATACAATCTCATGCATTTCTTGATGAAAACAATGTGAAAAATATGAAAAATTTGGTGAACCAACCAGTGTCGATGTGAAGTCTATAACCAACTATAAAAAGTAATAGCTGGCCCAAGTATAATGATTCCTTAGCCAATTTGTTGTACATATTCTGAGGCTATATAAGCATTGGAAGTAAACAGATGAATTTTATGGAAAATAAAAATCATTTTGAAGGAAAACGATAATATGGGTAATGTATGAAAGACAATGTGATATGTGGGATGCTTCACTACTGTGGATTTCATTGTTTTTTTTTTCAATAAAACTATTCATTTAAAACAGCTTTGTATGCCCAGACTCAAATATCAAATCTACCATGGATGAATTAGAAATTTAATTTAGCAAACTAAAAAATAATTGCATGAATCTTCATTTATATCTTTAATAGAATCAGTCTATGAAATTTAAGACAAATAAACTTCTTCTTCTGTATCATTCCTTAGGGAAATGCAAACAGAAACATAAGGTTTTAGTTTCCAATATTTTTGGAAATATTGTCTTTTATAAAACAATAAAATCACTTCAAAACACACCTATAATATTGTCTCACATGTCAATGACTTCTTAAATATTAGGCACATATGCCTGGCCCATAAGAGCCAAAAACAAATCAATATTTGACAACTACTAAGCAATAAATAAGATAAATCTGTAGAGGTGCATAATGTCTAGAACAGAGTAATTATGCCATAAGTATATCGCATAGTATCGAGGATAATAAAAATTATGTGGTGATGATAGTGACTGTGGCAATGAATAAACAGAATAAAGAGTAAAATCTCACTTAGCATTTTTAGAAAAATCAAGATACAAATTATGTAAAGGTTGATTTAACTATAAAAACAAACTCTATTACCTTATTGTTATCCAATTAAATTCAAGAGTTTTTAAGTAGTATCTACATTATACCTATGAGATGACTCATTTTACAGCAAAGCAAATGCTAACCCAAAGTTCATAGTTGGAAAGCGTGCAGTGGTGCGGGAGACTGAGAGCTCCAACACATCCTCGCTGTGCTATTTAGGGACGTCATTTCATAAAGTCTGTTTTCTGAGGGGAAAAATATTGTGTGCTACACAATATTCTTGTGAAGATCACACAAAATAACATTCATTGTTATTATTGGCACCATGTGTAACACATAGGAAAGATTTGTCCAAGGTAAGCTTTCTTTATTGTTTTATATTCATTGTTATAAATTGTTTACTTGAAGATCATCTTCATTTAAGTTAGTCAAAATTAATTTACTTTTTTTCCTATACACATTTTTTTTGTGCATCTATCATGTGTTGGTCACTCTGCAAAGCAATGGAAGAAACTTTGGAATGAAAAAGCATTACTGTTGGTAGATTTGTATGATTCAGACTGGCCCTATTATATTTGAATATTTTATCATTTATATTATATCAGAGACATTAAGTTCTAAATTTAATCAAATTTCAAGTTAAATAAGCCAATTTGGCCAGCATATATAGACATATATAAAACAAATATCCTATAGTTATTATGGTTTTGTGCTAAGGGTAAAGTTTAAGTAGCAATTACATCAGGACATCTCATTTTGTGAAACACTAACATCTTTCTGTTAATTTTACTCCACCCCTGAGAATAAAATATTTAGATGAGTCTATTTCCAGTAAATTATCAGAATGGATTATGTATAATGTATTTCAGAAATTAAATAACTAAATGCATGTCTTTGTCAGAATGATTAGAAAGGCAACTTTTAATATACTGCATTTGAACTAAAGCTTTTGCATAGAATGATATATTCTACTCATTTTAAACACATTTACTGATTTGTCTTTTCAAAAATATGAAGAATCTTTTACTTTTACTAAAGTTTATGGAAGAAAAGACATTTTGCTTTTATCATTGTAACATCAGTATGGTCTTTCTCTCTGAATTAAGGGTAGTAGAGGGGATCACTAGTGCTTTCTTTCCTCTGAACAAATCCTCTTTAAAACAAATAAAAAGCTCTATAATCAATGGTGATTATTTTTCAAAAGGTTTTTATCACTGGAGGCTTCTTTTTAAATAATCAAAACCATTTCAAAGCAACGTATAATGTGGAGCACCTCCGGGAGAGGCAACACAGATCCCTATTCAAAAATATGTGGCCAGAGACTCAATCTTATAACCTAGATTCTATAAAAATCTCATGGGCATCAAATGTCAAACAGAATGCTGCTAGCTCCAGGAATAGAAAACGAGGCCTTCCACTAAAGCAAAGGGTAGAGTTTCAATGTCACAGAAGCTGCAAGGATGAAATGCATCGAACCATAAATTCACACTATTGCTAAATATATTGTTTTAACGGGTGAGCAAAGAAATGAAAGCATGAAAATTGTCCATTTAGTTTTCTATACACTAGTACCACAACACTCATGTTGGTCTTGAAGGAAACTGGTTTTAAGATTCATATTTAGAAAGAAAGCAAAAAATATATATTTGGCTGAATATTGTTTGTGAAAACATCATAAACGAATAGTGGCTGCTCACCTTCCCAAAGCAGAGAACAGGTTCTAAGATTTAGGGAGAGAGGTGTCGTTGAAGATGTGTAAACCAGCAGTCAGAGGAGTGTGTTCTCATTCAGGTAATACAATTTTCTCATCTCTCAAACAGTTACCTCACCTTCCTTTGGAGGTAATTTTGTGGTTAAGAGCACTTGGCATATGGTAAGCACTCAATAAATGTTGCTATTTAAGTGTGGTCCACAGACCAACAGCCTTGGCATCAGCTGGGAGCTAGACAGAAATGCAAATATTGGGCCCCACCCCAGATGTACTGACCAGAATCTACACATAAACAAGCTCTCCAGGTGTTGAGTGTGCACACTGAAGTTTAAGAAGCAGTGCATTAAAAAATGCTATCATTATTTTATAAATGTCAGGTATAATTCCTGTGTCTATGAGGTGGACAAAAGTTGGTTTACAGTTGTGAGTATGTGGAACACAGAGTTTATTCTTGTATTATCTATATTTCCATAGAAACAACTGTAAACCGAGTTTTGCCCACCCCTGTATTCTGTTAAAACTATTCAAAAGTGCTTTGATATATGAAATATGCTCTGTATGTTCTATAAATGTTTAGGATAGCTGAGGTGATGTTGATGAATAAAGGGAAAATAATTCATTAATTCAGTTAGTCTTC